TGGGTGGGATGAAGTAAAGTGTATATATTGGAACGTTTCAGTAGGCTTGAAGTGGGTACGCACATCAAGAACTGAGTCTTTTTTGAATCTTTCGCCTTTAGATGTCTTGTAGCAAATAGTACTTAAAGAGGAAAGACGTTGATTGATGTAAAGCGTGGGCACTTAATCACGGCAAACGCCAACAGTCAAAAGTTTGGTTTCGAAAAAGCTAGCACTTAAAAGTCTAAAAACGCTAGTCTGTCTTACATGCGGTTTAAACTTATAATTACACAGGAAGAATGGCCTAATACATGTTTATTGTAAACTACAAATAGAAATTAAATGAACAATGTTAAAAGAAGCAATATGGAACATCATCTTGCCTTGCATTGGAGCCTGTCTCATATGACGTTTAAACTTCTAACTACACAGGAAGAATAGCGTAATCCATATTTATTATAAACTCTCAGTAGAAACTAATGAATAATATTTAAAGGAGCAGTATGGAACATGGGCGTTAAGTAACTATAAAACTTTCAGTTACGTATTTCGTCAGTACATACTGATTTCAGAGAGTCCTCCCTGTGGTTCTTATAAGTGTTTAAGTCTTTCTCTGTTTTGTTAACCAACGAATAAACCGCGCTAATGGATACACCAATTTGGTTGATCTAAAAAAAAGATAGGAAAAAAAATTATTATTTAATAAACTGACTTTAAGACAACTAGTAACCAAGTTGGTTTGAAAAGCCAGCATTCCCGCCTATAGTGGCCCTCGAACTGGTTCTTTATAACGACGCGACCCTGAGTATATCTGTTCCCCCGCCCTACTTTACTTAGAATGGGAGTATAGTCTATCCCACTATGATTACCCATCCCATTTTATTCAACAATTATAGCAATTTAAACAGCCGAGTGAAAAGAGGCTTGGTGAGACATTATAGCGATCCGGATCAAGGAATCGGACCCGTCAACTTGGCCACCGAACCTTCTTTCAAAAAAAATATCACACAGACAATACAAGCACCATAAACCAACATGGCGTCAAAACCAGCTGATCTCATAATCAATCTTGGCCAATATATAATCACTGGTTGGGACACAACTTTCACTTATAGGCCTCTTCGTAAGTGTCCGATGTGCACTCACGGACGTACCATCCTCAAGATTGTCAGTCTTGCGTATGTGCACTACTTAATACTAGTGACTTCATTCTCGGCACTCTACTGACTACGTTCATCGCCTTAATTATTATCATAACAATAATAATAATAATAATAATAATAATAATAATAACAATAACAATAATCACTTTATTTAAGTGTCGATGTATTTAGCACTAATGTGCTGATTGGAGACACTGTAAATAAATAAACAAATATTTCAAATATAACATAAACTATTAAGATTCCCAACTGGTGGAAGGCTGACCAGTTGGCTGTTTACACAACGCGGTCGATGAGTTGAACTCGGGGCTACCGAGAACAAATCCAGATAGCGGTAGCGCGGAGGATTTGAACCATGGACCTCCAGATTTCAAATCCAGTGCCCTAAACCACTCGGCCACGCCCTAAACCACTCGGCCACGCCGCTTCCCATCAAACAGTAATCTCAATTAAATTATTCACACCTTGAAGGACAGCGTTGTATTGATATCTCTCAGCACATTAGTTAGATTGTTATCTTGTTGAAAAGACTGCCCCACAGCTGCTGTGCAGTTCAACTGAAAATATATATGCAGGCACGGTTAAAGGTAAAGTCTGCATACGAGCCAAGTAGCCCATCAGACCGGTGCTTATCCCGGTTTCTGAAGCATGAAGCTCCCTGGATGGGATGCTAGTCCATTGCAGGATTACCCCCAGCATTAAATTCGCAGGTACCCATTTATACACCTGGGTGGAGAGAGGTAAAGTGAGAGTAAAGTGTCTTGCCCAAGAACACAACAAATGCCCCCGCCAGACTAACTCGATTCGGAGACGAGCACACTAACTATGAGGCCACCGCCCCTCCCATGGCTTGGTTACTGACCTGACAACAACAACAACAACAAACACTTTCACAAATACAGTGCAAGCGTCTTACTACATTTGGACTAACAGAAGCGAAGCAGTTATATGTATAACGCCTTACAGAAAAAAAAAAGAACACGCCTCGCGTAGTCAATTCTTTTAACTAAATAAATATTTTGCTCAGAGACCATTTGCATCTTGAGGTACAGGGTTGTATTGAATTATACGGCGCGTAGATAAACAAAACAGTATTGCCATACAATGCCAGGCTAAATATATGATGGCAATATTCTGTACGTACCCATAGAGGGTTGAAGGACCCTATTCAGCCACAGCTTTGTTTTTTCTTTTTTTTACATGCGAGAGTTTGGCTATTTATTTTTCATTCGAAGCATGTCGAAACGAAGGAAATCACTGTGAGACAACTAAATGTAATTAAACATACTTTAAGGAACACAACTTGCAGTAAAACAATAAGATTTTGCTTCACCATGTAATATCAATAATTTCGATGGCATCGAAAATGGCGGAGGCTGACTAGGGTCCTTAAAACAGTTGTTAGACTTTCGTCTTCTTCTTCTTCTTTCTTTTTTTTAGGGGGAGGGGGGCGGGGGAGGGAGAGAGGTTAGTTCACTTACCATTTTCTTCAAATTGTCGTTTTTTGTCCCCAGTGTTTTAAGGGACTTTTCAACCTCTTCAAGTTGACTTGATTTTACCCTCTGAAACATAAAGAAACCAATCCCGCTGTTACTCATCAAGACCAACATAATGTTCATGAGTGTGGAAATATTGCAAGCGGCTGAATACCAAAGGCTACTGTTTATGTATGATCTGATAGCCAATAATCATTTCAATCTCGAAATCCTTTCGACTTGGTCTTGATTGATTGGGAGGCTTTCTTTCTGTGTTGCTGTTTTTTTTTTTTTGTTTTGTTTTTTTTGGCCTGCCTGTCTGTCTTACGGTCTGTCTATACGTTTGTTTGTTCGTCTCTCTGTCTCTGTTTGTTGTAATTGCTTGCTTTGTTGATGGTTTGGTGGGATTGTTGGTTCGCAAGTTAATTAATTTGGTTGGTTGGTTGGTTGTTAATTGGTTCAGGTTCGTCTCACTGTTTGCTTACTGATTTACTTCGTTGCTTTTTCTTGCCTGATTGGTGACTTCATTTGATAGACAAGTTCTTACCAGTTCTTCCTTAAGATTTTTCACGCTGTCTTCCATGGATGTTATCCTCGCTAACATCGCGCTGTTTTCTGTTCGGGAGGTCTGCGCTGCAGTAGACGCTTTGAAAATCAATACATAAAGATTAATTCATAGAAAGTGGGACGTACGGATTTTTATTCACGAGTTGTCCCAAGTTTTGTGACAAGTGAACAAAAATGTGTGCAAATCACTTTCTATGCTGTAATTTGTTTAGTGTATATATAACGAGAATTAAACATATCCTTTAAATCAGTTTTAGTTTTCCCGATACCATCAGCTTACATGCGGAACAGCAAAAAATTCAAGACTGATCTAAATGACCGAGCGTAATAAAAAAAAAAAAACAAACAAACAAACCCCCTTTCCAGTCCAGCAACAGGCGGACAAAGAGCCTACTCAAGCCTGAATATAATGCCGGAGAATTCGTAAATACAAAGTGTGAAATCTTTTCGCTTGTCCCTAATCATTGTCAGATTCAGTCATGTAACGGCGGCGCTTCGCGCTGTGCAAAGACAAATTCGGACTCTGTTGACTTACACTGTTTATAGCGGAGCTCTGGCGGCCCGAAAGGCCACCAAGCGGAGCACCATACCTATATAGGAAACTAAAGGAAACTCATGAATTGATTTTTTCATGGTTGTCATGGGTAGCGGTATTGTTCATGGGCGCGTACGCACGACGACGA